ATACTAAAAAACTAAATTGCAATTTAAAGATATGTGGATCAGTTTGAACATTGAGGTGCTCCAATATTCTTAAAAGTTTTATTTGTTCTAACTTCCACCAACATTCTTCCTCTCCACACTCGTCCTGTACAATAGACTAACTTTTACTGGCGACCTTCAGTAATTGTTACTTTCACTAGTGAATGTTAACAATCACTGAATTTCCGACTTTCACTGTAACATATAGAGGAAATGACTTCTCTTAGGAGAGAAGAATTGGATTCATAATCCTAAATTCTTCTCTCTATTTCGATGGCTCCAGTACTGCAAGGTACCAGTAGACACAGGTATCTAGTAATCCAGAAGAGATAAAAAGATGGTTAATTACTAAAATATACCTTTCTGACAACTCTTACTTTTGGATCGGTATTTACATGTGTGGAAGTAAATTGCATAGGGATCTTATTAAGTCGGAGTGAGAGAAAAGCGACGGTATGCTGTTGCGGCGTTGTAAATCACGATAGCAAACTTAAGGTTTTAAGTTTAACCTTAAATAAGTTAAGGCAAACTTATTTAGGGTTTTTTTTTCGAAAATATAACTAGATAAAATCATTAAAAAATTCGATAAGCATGTTTTTTTCCATTCAAAAATTTAAAAAAACCCATACATTTTTAGTGCATAGCAATTTTAAGCAGTCGTGTAACTGTTTTATTTATATAGATTTTCACATACTCTATGCGAAGAAAATAAAGCAGGAATATTAAGAAAGTTTTTGAAAAAAACTACAACCAATTATTTGTAAATGGATTTCGAGATATCGATTTTTGAATTGAGAGTTCTAATAGGGCGACCATCCTCGAACATCAACTTAATTCCACTTATTTTTACCAAAAGTGTTTCTAACTTGCACTTAAAAATTTACAAGCTATAGGAAAAATTACAACGACTCTTTAATAAATAAACAAGTAAAATATCACGAGACGTAATTAAATCGTGAAGCTAAACGTATGATGTACACCCTCCCCTAGAATTTTAAGTACTGATTGAGTCGATGATGTTATTTCGGAAAAGAACTGTCAAATTCAAAATTTAATAACATCAACTTGTAAAGTAGGAGCTGAGAGTTGCAATGGGAAATTGCAGAAAAAGAGAGAGTAGTGCCTTTTAGAGTTCAACAAGCACAATATCTATGATTTAGTCCTCTCTCTATGTCATCTGGATTACTCCTGGAGACTCCTGTAGTATGCATTCTTATATGGGACACTGTGTATATGTAAAACTAGAATTGGGAAGATACGCAATCTAATGAGCGAATTCGTGACAAGGCTGATTTAATTTCTCCTTACGTCCGAAGTGCTGTACGGTGGAGCCTTTATTCGTTCTGGAGCCAATGCATAAAATACTCATTTTCTCTAATTCGGCCAGCGAAGAAGGCATATCGAACGCAGTGTGGAACTGAAAGTGACAGTGTTGCCATATTAAAATGTGTAATATCTCTAATACGTTTGACGAAAATATCTGTGGATGAAAAATCCGCGTTTATGTATTGAAAATTTATTCGTGTTGAACACAAAATAAACAACAAAAATAAAAATTCTTTTATAGGTACTGAATATTTCATATGATCGAAAAAAGTCGTTTAATTGGCTTGGAAATTACGACTATTGACGTTTACCATAATATTTTAAATGTGAAATAACAGCGATCTTTATTTCCAAGCCAAGCCTGACGTCTCTTCTTTCTTCAATCAACGGTATTATTCTTGATTTGTGTAATTTTCTCGTAATAAGTCCGCAAAAATATAAAACGAAGTAAATATATGAATAACAGATTAAAGAACATTTACCAACGATTTTTTTTATAAAAATCAACCTGTTCGTTTACTTAAGCTAGAAACCCACAAACATATTTAACTGCGAAAATCTCTCTCATCCACTCTCCGTTTTACACAGTCACGAATATAGGGTTGAATTAAAATGCTTTTAAGAATATTTCCCTCGGGACACACTTTTTCGCAAAGCAAGGAATGCAAGCGACGATCCGTGCAGGATACTGAAAAAAAAACTCTCTTTTTAACAATTTTTTGTTTAACGGTTTTTTTCGGTTATGAGTATAGAGGTACAAATATACGTTTTTAACATTACTATAGTCTACTTGTTTCATTAAGGGTGTATTCCGTTGCTTACCTTAGTTATGGTTTTATGTTCCGTTTCTATTGGATTTCCTAAAAGTTTTCTTATTACGGAACACGGTTCCTGAAAAATTCGGTTATAACTGTCACCAAACTAACCAGCGCGGGAAGGTTGGTTTTTCTGGTTTTGTTTCTCAATGTCATTTATGTGACAGAACCCCAGCAAATATTGGAAGTTCGAGTGAAATTTTGTGAAATTCTCATTTAATTTCTAAAATTTGTAATAATATTTTGTATTTACATCCCAAAGCAATGGAGGTAGGTAGTAAAGGTAAATAAGTTTCATTAACTAAATAGAATGACCTTTTAGGACCATTTAAACTTATCATGCAGCCAGGAACATTTAAAGAAAACATGAAAAACAAGACAACAAGTAATCGTGAATGTTTTGCAAGCTATAAAAATATAAATATTGATTAGATTTGTTTATTTATTATTGATCTGTTATAATATTGGACTTGCAAATCTTCACTTGAGCTGTCTAACGAGTTTAACAGTTTATTAATAAAGTACTTTTCAATATTAAACTCCATTGAAAAGAAGAAGCAAACGTAAAAGCAGAGAATAGGTACATTAAAAATGCATAAAAGATAAATTTTATAATAGAGGTATTGAAATTTAGAAAACGTCAACATTTGACGTTTCCAGTATTTTACCAAACCGTTCCGTATCAAACCGATGCTTTTCAGAAACCGCTCTTTACCGTAGTTTACCGGTCTGGTTCGCATGGTTTTGCAACGGCATACAGCCTTAAGAAGTGACAAATGTAAATGAACCTTATATATATGGCCTTAACTTTGTAATAAATGACATCTCTGTCAACTTCAAACTACTCCAAACACGCAATATGATGTGTTATATCAAATTTTTGTCGAAATAATAATTATTTTTTTAAAGAAGCCTTAAAAATGGCAAAACACTTTTACTCCTACCAGTTTGATATGCCATATCGCCCCACATATCTAAGAAACTGGGAAGTACCGAAATTTTACTGTCCAAAACCGAGAACTAGGCATGGAAGAACGCAAATTATTGCTAACACCAGAGGACACATACTGCCTGGTGTACCAAGACCGCCTTGTAATCCTTTTGGAGATTTTATAGGTAGGAGAATGTCTAAATATATTTTAAATTATTCGGTAATAAAAAAAAAGTTATATGATCTATTTCTATACATTTTTGAATATTTGCGTGTTTTAAAGAAACCAATCTCTCTCTCTGTCTTTATTCCTACAAGAAGAATGTAGTGGTCAGGTGATGTGTGAGGTTTGTCTCCATAATTCCCTGTCTTGTGCTTCCTGTACAAGCGTGTGCAGTGGCTTGTGGGTGATCTTTGATAGCTGGTCTATCCATCGGGAGTGCGAGCGGCCTCTTGGTCTTCTTTCCGGAACCTTGCCCTGTAAATGAGCTCTTTTCCATACAGTCAGTATCCCTCCTCATAACGTGACCGAAATATTTAAGTATACGTGACTGTATAGAAGTTGAGAGGCGTTCTGTGATGTTCAGTTCTTGGATTATGGATTCATTGGTTCGCCGGGCAGTCCAGGGAATTCTGAGCATTCGTCGCCAACAGTACATCTCAGTTGCGTCAATTTTTTTCATTTCTGGCTGTCTCATCGTCCAGGACTCGGAGCCATACATTAATATAGGAAATATTAGGCAGTGAACAAGCCTTTTTTATAAGTGTTTAGATATGTTTTTGTCTCGCCGTATCTTTGAGAGTTTTAGCACTGCCACTCTTGTCAATTCACATCTTCTTCTTATTTCGCCTGCTACCGCTCCCGTGTTGTTTATAAGTGACCCAAGATATATATATATATATATATATATATATATATATATATATATATATATATATATATATATATATATATATATATATATATTGACTTAGTTAACCTGACTTACAACCTCAAACGACCAATGCTCACTACATCAGGTTTGTTGTTGTTTTGCCTGTCGATAATCATAATTTTTGTTTTAGAGGGATTAATTTCAAGTCCAAGTTTCTCGCTTTCGTCTTCAACCAATTTTAGAAGCTGCAGTAACTCTTCTTCGTTTCCTGCTAGAAGGACCGTATCGTCTGCAAATCTGAGGCCAATTTTTGCCAATGTTGCCCTTGCCAATGTTCCAATGCCCTTCTCATGATAAGAAAGAGAAAAAGAAACCAATAGATAATGTTATATTTGGATTTTATTTTAAATATTTATAATAATCATAGGGCGTCATTTTTGAAAAATTAAAAAAAAATCATTTTTAGGGTTCCGTACCCAAAGGGTAAAAACGGGAACCCTATTATTAAGACTTCGCTGTCCGTCCGTCCGTCCGTCCGTCCGTCTGTCACAAAGGTCTATCTTATGAACCGTTATAGCTAGACAGTTGAAAATTTTACAGATGTCTCTATGTTGCCGCTATAAGAACAAATACTAAAAACAGAGTTAAATAAATGTTTATAAATTAAAAAGTACTTTTACTAAACATTATCTTTTAAGTAAGCATTTTGCATAGAATCTTTCAAGTCCTCGGTGGCCGCGTGGTTACAGCGTTAGGACTTTACGCTGCTATGACGTTGGAGCCGTAGTAAGGCAGGTTCGAATCCTAGTCAAGGCGAATTTTTTTTATCGTTTTTTTTTTAATTTTTACATATTTATTTTTACTTTTTAAATATTTATTATTGATTAATACAATTTTTAGTAATGTGTTTCTTCATTTGTTTTTAAATTACTTATACGCGCATTCAAAATTTCAGCTAAATCGGAAAAAAAGTTTATAATAATATAGTCTCTAATGTTGTATAGATAATGAATGGTACGGAACCCTTTATTACAGGGACATGGGATATGCCTAAGAAAATAACCAGAGAGGTAGCTAACCAGTTAAATGGAATGGCGAATAAGAAAGCTTACTTTGAGCGATGTGCCCAACTTGCTGCCACTCCACCATCAACCAAGTACCAAGCAATAAAGAAGTCGGAGACAGATCAACAAAGTAGAGATAAAGAATCTGAAAAAAGACTATCTGAAGATACAATTTCACTTCCTACAGATACAGAGCCAGTTATAGAAAAAATCATATGTCCAATACACGATTTCTAAAAATTCTTATTTTATTTTGAAAATTTCGTGAATGGATAACTAGGGTTACCAAAGTTAGAATGTAGATTGTATAAGACGGGGAAGGTAATCACCGATCTTACAGTCTCAGTTGAAAAAAGCCAGTATCTGAGACGTTTACACAGAGGTTAGTTCTTCATTTCGGATATCAGTCGTACTAACGTTTAATAAATTTAAGAAATTTTTATTTTTTTAATTTTTCTGCGAAAAAATTATGATAGAACAGTTTCTGTTGAACTTTTAACACAAAAAATATTTCAAATTTATGATTTCAGTCTAATAACTATTTAGTCAACATGTTTAATTTATGTCAATGATGACAGGTATTGATAATTTCGATTCCAAATATCCCGAGAACCATTACTCGGAACGATTTTTACCAAGAGACCTCTTCTACGTAAAAAAACGTCATAAATGTATATTTTTTACCCAGTTGTTTTATACAGGTACAGACGAAAAGTTATTACTCTTTAAACCAGTTAAAAAATATGTAGGTGGCGCCCTCTACAAGTAGGAGTCATATTGACATCAAAATCAAATTTCTCATGTCAAAAAACTCCCACACACAAATTTTCATCCAAATATTGACGTTACTTAAGAAATTATTTGGAAAAAATCGAAATAAAAATGAAACTTCTACCCCTGTATCTTTGAAACAAAGCGTCTTAGGATATACATTTATACGAGCTTTGTTACTTATTTTACACCCTGTATAAATATAATAAAATAAAATTGGGAAATATTACAGACTTACAGACTTTAACCTAATTTTTCTTATATTAATATATAGCTGTTTTCTACTACAGAAGATGTTAAAACGAAATTTTTATAACTTTTTAAAGTTTTATGAGACTTTAAAACAACATTAAATTTTGTGGTATTTAACAGAGTGGCCATAACTGTTATTACTTTAATATATCTTTATTAACCAGAAGAAGTTTTTAAAAGAAAAGTATGTTTTGTCTGGAGTTTAAAAACTTTTATTTTACGAAATTTTTATTATTCACTAATTGAAGATTACGTTTTGTTGGTACTATAATATTTTAATGGACTTATTTGGAGAGGTATAAAAAACTTTTAATACTTTTTATAAAATTCTTCCATAAAGTTTTCTTAATAATGCAAAATTTAGATTGGTTAATATAAAAAGCGATTCAAATGTTATATTATACTAAAAGTGTAGAATTTTATATCCGAATATATTTTTCAACGAAGATCTATATAGATTTGATTTTTATTTTTATGCATTTTATATACCCAATGCCTTATAATAAAAAAATAATCTAGATAAATAAAACATATGGGAAAATTTACAGGAAAAAATTATACAGAAAATTAATTTTTATATAAATTAGATTTGCTATTCCGCCATCTTCCGTAATTGACAGCTCACGTCATGCACTCATATAACTTATTGTAATAATTGATGTCTACTGCAGTGATATCCTAGACATCAGTGATGTCCTAGACATTATAAAATAGAAATTCAACAAAAAATAATATGAAAATAGCATATTCAAATCTAATTTAATAATTGAAATATATAGAAAACACCTGAATAGAAATAAAAATAAAAATACAGGGTGAGTCTGAAATAAGTACACATATTTTAGGGATAGTATATTTCGACACCAGAAACAATTTCAAATTTTCAAAGAAAACTCTTAAAACATATCTTGATATTATGTCAACATAGCTAGTAGATTAATTAGTAAGAAAACCCAGAAAAAATCTAATGGTTTTCAAAAATTAGGCAACATTTATTTTAAATTTTCAAATTAAAAGAATATTGGACTTATATTGGAAAAACGTAAAGAGAATATGTTTATTTTCTCGAGATCTACCAGCCCTGAAAATATTTGCACTTATTTACTACTCACCCTGTATAGAGAACAGATGAGGTGAAATCGACTTGTATTAATCATTCCAGAAAAACAAATAAATATATCAGATTTAACACAACGTGGATTTGAAAATGAATTTTAAAAAATTAAAGAAAGGTGTCTCATAGTAAGAACAATTATGAATGAGCATTATTCTAAAGTGTCTATAATATGAAGTGTATATAAGCGGTCAAATTCGTCATTTTAACCAACTATATACAAGGTGATAAAAGAAATATATTTTCTCTTTACCGTTTATCAAATAAGTCCAAAATAACCGAGATATTTTACTTTGATAATTAAAAAAAATATTTTTGGCTTACATTTTCAGAACCACTGGGTCTTTTCTGCTTTTTTTCCTGTAAATTTAATCTACTACATATGTTGCCATAATATTATAAAGGTATCATGCTTTTAACTAAAAATTATTTTTTTTTAAATTCTGTGGTCGAAATATAGTACCCTTAAAAATATTTGTACTTATTGAAGACTCACCCTGTATAGATTTCCTGAAAAAAATGTCTAGAATTTTCTTTCATGTCTAGAATTTTCTAAAAGCTAGCAAATAAATTAACACTAAGTCGTAACACATTTATTCTGTCCACAGAAGAGAATTTATAGAACAACAAATTAGCGCATAATAAAAACGTTTCGCCGATCTAATCGAGATGAATCACCCCTAGAAGCAACACCCAACCAAGAGGACACACTGCTCTAAATCTCCATAAAGAAGTTAGCGCCATGCCGCTTAAAATCTGTGTCGCACGATATATCTCGGCGAGGCCAGGAAATTATAACGGCCTTAAGTTCCGGTACACACTAAACGAAATAAATTTAACGGATGCGTTTAGTTTCTTCGGTTCGCTGGTCGCTGCTTTATTAAATGGAGTTTTAAAAGAGAAATGCGTATTTTTTCGCATTTTTAAACTGTTATTATTTCAGAAAATTCAGATAGGTTAAAAAGCTTTGCATCACTCTCAATCTTTGAAAATAAACTTCCTTTCGTGAAGACTGTTTACTAGAGATTAATCAATTTATCATTTTTATTAAAAAAAAACTTCATTTGTTTTTTTTTTATTTTGTTTCAATAATAATAATTGTTTGTATAGAAGCTGTCATATACAAGGTGTTCCATTTTGGTTAATATCATACGGTATCTCTCTCTCGGTTATTAGTGAAGATAGGGGGATGCGGTTTGCACAAACCTGTCCCACTTTTTTGTCAAACGAAAGAAGATGTAAACAAAATTTCCATAGCCCTCTTCGTTTATGAGCTACAGGGTCTTTTCGAAAATTTTGCAATTTGGGACAGCCCCCGTATCTCCGTTATTGTGTATGATATCAAGAAGGTGAAAACTGATTCTTATAGAACTTTTTACGTAAAATACAGTGGCGTAGTCTCTTTTTCTACGGAAAAAAATATTTTTGAAAATACGAACTAAAGTTATCTTTTTTTCAAATGGAACACCCTGTATATTTATAAATCGTATGATCCGTCTTGCTATAGCTTCTCAATAATATATAATCACTCTATATTTATTTTCACTATTTTTACTACAATATTATAAAATTTTTTAATTAGTTATACACACATTAAAATTTTATTTGGGATTGATAAATTTTACTTTTGAACTGTTAACACTGAATCTCTGAATATATTTTTCTTTCTTTATAACGGAATGGGTTTGCAAATATGTAACAGCTTGCATTATTAAAGCATTTTCCAGGTGTTCGACATTGTTGTATTTGCCACGATATATTTCATATTTTAAAAGTTCCCAAAATCAGAAATCGAGAACGGACAAATGCGGGAATCAGGGGGGCCATCATATCGGTATATTGGTTCCTATTCATAGATTTGAGAAATAATATTTTAACAAAATTCTAATATTTTCAAAGTTGTTAGGGAAAGCGCCATCTTGCTAAAAGTATAGTTTACGTAAATTAGCTAAAGGAAATCTGGAAAAGTTCCGGTACGATAACTTCCAAGATTACAAATAGCGGTAGAGAGTTAAGTTTTCCTAATAAATAAAGAAATATTAGCGGCCCCTAAAATAAAACAAGAGACAGATAGCAGTATATAATTTTAATAATTCTTTATGTTCTTTTATTATCAATCATGGCCTACTAATAAATATGATCTTTTAATAAAAACTTTTAAATATTGCAGTAAATAGTGAAAATAAATATAGAGTGATATATATTTCTGAGAAGCTTATGACAAGCCAAATCATATAATTAATAAATATACAGGGTGTTCCATTTAAGAAAACGTAACTTTAGTTCATATCTTCTAAAATATTATTTTCGTAGAATAACAGACTACGCCTACTGTATTCTCCGTAAAAATTCTACAATAAACAGATTTCACCTTCTCGATACCTTTCGAAATATGAGGGATAACAGAGATATGGGGGGTGTCGCAAATTGCAAAATTTTCAAAAAGGGGGCTATGAAAATTTTGTTTACAGCATCTTTCATAGCTTTTTTGTTTTACAGCTTCTTTTTGCACAAACCCCAACCTTCTATCTTCACTAATAACAGAGATACCGTATGAATTCAACTAAAATGGGACACCCTGTATAACAAGAATTAATAAAATCTGATAAATATATTTTAAGGTATGAAGTATTTTTTTGTCATTCGGTATATTCTATTTCTTCATCCAGTATATAACATAGAGGCATAATCCAGCTCCAGACCTAACTCCACTTCTCATTGCCCTTATAGTCGAGCGCCTCCTAATTATTCTTCAACTTCCATTAACTAGTTAACCGACAATTAAATCGGGAGAAAGAAACCGGAGAAGGATTAAAATAAAACAGGCCATTATAAAGCCCGAACCAATTAAAGTTACGTAACTGTTAATTCCATTTCGAGCGCGCGCTGTGCCGCGCCGCCCCAAAAAGAACTGGAAAACTTCCCGTTTCGCGAAAGTTTTAATCGCAGGAAAGGCCTTTAGGAATAGCTACGACGATAAGTAATTCTACTTCGGGATTTAATATGTGCGAAACAATATAAATTTGGGCGAGTTTTGACGAATCTGAGTAATATCAACGGGTACAATGTTTAGCGAGTTTTGACACTGTTTGTAAAGAAAATTATGTTAAGAGCTCCTGACTCAAG